CTCCTGAAGGAGCGACCACTCTCCTTGGACAGCTGGCTCCCCTCCCTTCTGGGACCTCAGCACTTCCCCAACTATCCTCCTTAGCTCATTGAAGTTTGCCCTCCTGAAGTCCAGGGCTGCTGCCTTACTGCATGCCTTTGCCACCTTGCGCTCGATGGTGAATTCCGGCAGGCGATGATCGCTGTCGCCCAGGTGATCGAGCACCCGCAGCCCCCTCACCAGGTCATCACCTGTGGCCAGCACTAGGCCCAACAAGGCGTCTCCCCTGGTGGGGCTGTGCACCTCCTGGGCTAGATGGAGGTCCTGCATTTGGGCTAGGAACCTACATGAGCGGTCAGACCTGGCTGATGCTTTTCCCAGCAGATGTCCGGGAAGTTCAGGTCCCCCGTGACTACCACATCCTTAGACTTCTCTACCTCTGTGAGCTGACCTAAGAATTCCTGGTCAAGCTCTTCTCCCTGGTTGGGAGGTCTGTAGTAGACCCCCACTGTTAAGTCTCTTTCTCCTCGACTGCCTTGTACTCTAACCCAAAGCGCTTCAGAGTGCCCCTCCTCTGACTCCTTGCTAATTGATGAGGATGTGTATTGATGTTGTTGAGCCAAGAATAGATTTCTTGTTACCCTGAGGCTCACTGTTCCATCAGGCACTTTGTAAATCTAAGGGAAAATTTCCTTGCAATTATACACAATAATGTACATTAACTGCTTGTACTAAGAGGAGTTGATATCCTACTATTAGAGCAGTTGTTCAGAATTCTCAAATATGTAGGAATAACCAGTGTGTTGATTGAATCTTGAGATTTTGATATCTCTGGATTATTTTGTAAGAGTTGAGCTGCTGCATTAGACGTGGGAAGAACCTTGCAAAGGAAGAGCTACTTCCTGACATCATGCTTTCTCTCCCTGTTGCCTAGGTGGATATACACGATTGCAGGGGGGGCGTTGGAGCGATGGCAGAGCCCTCAGTTGTGTGGAGCGTTTTGACACATTCAGTCAGTACTGGACCACTGTGTCCTCCCTGCACCACGCTCGGAGTGGGCTTGGAGTAGCAGTTGTAGGTGGAATGGTCTATGCTATTGGAGGTAAGAAATGCATTAGTTATGAGTGTCTATAAGCCAGTGGTTTTGTTTTCCTCATGATGTAAAGCAGGGGTTGGCAACATAGGGCTTATGGGCTGGGTCTAGCCCATGGCGCCAGAATGCTTTGCCTGTGCTTGCACCTGTGGTGGGACTGAGGATGAGCAGTGGGGAGCTGTGCTGGAGTCAGGCAGCGGGAAACTCTGCCTGCATTGCTGCCACTTTTTTCCTTGTTCCCTCCTACCCCCCAGTTACAGTTTGGGTGCAGCTTCCAGCCAGTGGGGAACTGAGCTGAGGCTGTGCAGCTTCCCGTGAAGGGACCAGGGAGAAGTGGCAGCAGCTGCACAGCACAGCTCCCAGCAGCTTAGCCCTGGCATGGCTGCAGATAAACCCATGTTGAAGCCACCCAGCCTGCACCAGATTGGAGCTGGGTTGCTCTTCCCCTTGGCTGTTAAGGGTTGCCAGCCCCTGATGTAAAATACTTGGACAACTAAAAATTCTTGGAAAGACTGACTTGCTTTAGAGTTGGCATCTTTTATTGTTGGGACTTATTTTTGAATGCTGAAGTATATTTTGGGGAACATATTGTATCATAATATTTTCTTAATCATATGTCGGATACTTTTTGTATGACCATTGTATTTTTTCACTGTGGAAGTGCAGGTTTTTTGTTGTTGCTATTCTGTTGATGTTGATATGAGCAGTCTTGTCTTTCTCAAAAACAAAACAGGTTAAAAAAAGATGCCTTAACAGCCAGGAAAATCTGAGTGAAACCTGTGTTAACCTAGGCAGAAACTGGACATGCACCAGTGCTGCAGGCTTAGGTCTGACCTGGGTCTGGCTTCTGGATTTTTGTTTGTACTTTCGGGGGAGCAAGTTACTACTTGCTGTACATGTGGCTGTTATTGCTGTTGCTTCAGTTTGACACCATAGGACTGTCTTCAAGAATTCTTGTGTTTTCATTCTTCCAGTACATGGCATTAGGTACAAAAGGCAGATTAACAGAATTGTTATGAATAACACCTTAATACACTATAAACTACAGTTGGAAATGTTCCTTTTCTCACCTGTTTTTGTAGACAATGCAGATGGCTCTGCCACAGAGCAAAGTACTGCCACTTCATATGTATAGAGAAAGGAAGCTTAAATTGAATAAACATAGTCTTAAAATCCCTAATTTTTCCTATTAAGGCTAGTAAGAATACTACCGCATGCAGTGTTTCGCTCAGAATTGCAATCTGCAGTATTTCACTGTGAATGCTGGTTGAGGGAATTCTTGCTTAAAATGCCTTGTAGTGATAATTCATTTCCCTGGTTTAGATAAATAGTTTGTTGCATTTGCACTCTGGCAGTTTGAGGACAAAGATTCAGATACTGCCCAGGAGCTTCCTTGTGGCAGAAGCAGAATAGCATTGGTATGTCCGCTTTTGCAGACCATTCAGACACAACCATTTTTTGTTCTCTCTTACTTTCAAGGTGAAAAGGACTCAATGATTTTTGACTGTACTGAGTGCTATGATCCTGTATCTAAGCAATGGACAACAGTAGCCTCCATGAACCATCCTCGGTGTGGACTTGGAGTGTGTGCATGTTATGGTGCTATATATGCTTTGGGTAACTATTCTAGTTCCTTCTGGTAAAACTAATTTCAAAGCCATTAGTTCACTAGATTAAATCAGATTAAGGATTTTTAATGCTAAAATCCTGTAATAATGAGATTTGAAAATCTACTGGCACATGTTCAATGACACACTTTCCCTCCTAAAATGTAATAGATTCTTGCAGCTGATGTAAGTTTGTGTGAATGCATGTACAGACATGTTCCCATTTCAAAGAAGAGCATCACAGTCAGCTCATGGAATAATATATATTGGAGCCATTGTTAAAGTCCAAAATGTGTGTGAACAAGTCATAGTCTCCTCCTTAAAAAGCATTTCAAAATACCCAGTAAAACTTTCCACTTTTCTGAGTCTCTTGCAAACATTAACCCAGCCTTATCACCTCCTGTGATGGAGGTGTGCACTTGTCTCTAATTCACAAATGAGGAGATGGAGATAAAGGAAGATAGGAATGATTTGTCCAAGCAGGTCTGTTGCAGAGTTGGGTGTAGCACTTGGGTGTGCTCTACCCTATTCTTACCGTTACTCTCATTCAGTAAACAACATACAGAAGGAAGAACTGACACAGGCTGCCAGCCATACTTTAAAAATAATTAATTCCCGTTTGCTTGTCACCCAACAGTGCTTCTGGTCTTGTATAAAAGGATCTAGAGTCTTCAAATTTTTTCTTCTTAAGAGATGAGGTGTATCTTGATTTCGATTTTGTTGTTGTTGTTAAACGAAACACTGAAGTGTAACAAAGAAGTAACATAAACACTCAGTGTAGAGTTCAGTAGCTTGTCTCTCAAATCAGCCAGTTCCACGTTTCATATACAAGTCGGTGCAGGTAATTGTCCAGTACTAATAACAAATTGTCTTCTCTAAACCCAGCTGGTGATTGGTTTCATCCCTAAAATGTAGCTGTTGCTGACCTTATGATTGGTTTGTTGGCTAGCAGGCACATGCAGTTACTATTGAATTATACGGCGTTGTCCTCCAATAATGATCTCTGAGTGTGCTGTTTGGACTCTGAATCTCTTGCAGTTAGTTATTTAATCTGTGTGGTTTTGGTATTATCCCATTATGAATGTTGATTCCCTTATGTATAAACATACAACTCACTGAAACTTACCTCAGAAATCTTTGTTCCAAGGGCATGTTCACATCTATAAAAGAGCGGGCTGTGCTGGGGAGAACTGATCTGTACTTCTGTGCCACCTAACTCTTCCTGCATGTTTGCTTTTGCTTGCAGGAGGATGGGTTGGAGCTGAGGTTGGCAACACAATTGAACGATTTGACCCAGAAGAAAATATCTGGGAGGTGGTGGGCAGCATGCCTGTGCCACGCTACTATTTCGGGTGTTGTGAAGTGCAAGGTGAGCATTCTTGGACATAACTTTATTGATGCTGTATAACCAGTAGTTCTGAGAGCAGCTCTGTTGCACCAAAAGTTTGCATTTGAGTCATGGATTCCTACATCTGTCTTGTCTTGCAGCTCTGTAAGATGACTTGATTTCTGTGCTGTCAGTTATGTGAATGTATGTGTTGGTCTCTCCCTTCCATTTCTCCTTCTAATGCTGCTTTTTTTTTTTTACTTCTGTAGAATTTGGAGTACATAAAGGTCTGCAGTCCTCTAACAAATATATAATTAAGAGACAATACTTAATAAATCAGTTCAGAAAACTCTTCCATTCTCTGTCAATTAGCCTTTGAATTGACTTTAAATAGCTTTCCTAGGGTGAAGAAGTAGTCCAGTATTTTCAAGGCTGCTGTAACTGTATTTTTATATTACACAGTCTGTGGTTTAAAAAAAAAAGGTTTCAAAAGACAAATGTGTGTCACATGTGAGGTCTGAATGCAGATGTTTATTAACATTCATACAAGGGGTTGCCATCTTCTAAAATTTCTACTATACCCTTAATCAGTCAGTGACTGCTCTGATCAAAGATCCATTGTTTAACCCAGGAAACTCATGGTTTCGGTAGGCTACTTCTGGGCTACTACAGGATCTTGGCTTGTGCTCTGAGCTAATTTTTAAGACGAGAAGGAAATCAATATTGTGCAGTATAAAGCAAAACTTGCTTTGTTGGTTTCAAGCAGTTGCATTATGATGTCTGTCATGTTTTACTGTTAGACTTAATAAGAGGAAATCCTGTCTCTCCAGGTCGAATATATGTTGTTGGGGGCATCAGCAATGAAGTAGAACTGTGTTCTGTTGAAGTCTATGATCCGAGATCCAAACGCTGGTCTGAGCTTCCTCCAATGGGCACCCGAAGAGCATACCTTGGTGTAGCTGCCCTCAATGACAGCATCTATTCTGTTGGAGGGTGGAATGAGACTCAAGAAGCACTTGCTACTGTGGAAAGATATTCCTTTGAAGAGGTAGGCTAGGGAACTTGGGAAACATGATTTCAATTATTTTATGGATAAAGATGCTAAGTAGGCAGTTTACCCTTGTAACTGTTTTAAATCTTGGACATTACATAGGTGGGGAAGACTAGTAGAATTCAGACAAACATTTTAAAATAAACTTCATGTAGTCAGTAATTTTAATGGAAACTGTGTTTTGGGGACCTTGGAGCAGTGTCTATTATTCTGTCAGGACCTGAGATTCTTGCTGATCTATTGAGTCATAGTTTCATAGTTGTTAGGGGCTGGAAGGGACCTTACAGATCATCGGGTCCAGCCCTCTGCACGTGGTCAGGAAAGACTGCTGGGATAAGATGTTTTTTGAAGATTGCCAGGGTGGGTGACTGGACCACCTCTGGGGGAAGCCTGTTCCAACCCCTCAGCACACAGCTTGTAAAGGTTTCCTTTATGTCTAGCCTGAAGTGATCTTCAATCAGCTTGTGCCCATTGTTTCTCATGCTGCCCTGGGGGTCCTTGGTGAATAGATGCTCCCCCAAACCCTGATATGCACCCCTGATATACTTAGAGGCTGCCGTAAAGTCCCCCCCGACCCCGTCTTCTCTTCTCTAGGCTGAACAGTCCCAAGTCCCTCAGCCTTTCCTCACACCTCTTGGTCTGGAGGCCTCAAATTGTATGTGACCCTCCTCTGGTCTCTCTCAAGCTTCTCCACATCCTTCTTGAAGTGTGGCACCCAGAACTGGACGCACTACTCCAGCTGCAGTCTCACCAAGGCCAAGCAGAGTGGGAGGATGGCATCCTTTGCCTTGTGCAAGTTGCCTCGGTGGATTCATGCCAGTGTTTGGTTAGCTCTGCCAGCTGCAGCATTGCATTGGTGGCTCACATTCATTTTGTTGTCAGTCGTGACACCTAGGTCTCACTCAGTTATGGTGGTGGCAAGCCTACCACTGCCAAGCCTGTAAGTGTGTTGTGGGTTATTTCTCCCTGGGTGGAGCACTTTACATTTCTCTGTATTGAACATTATCAGGTTGAGGTTCACCCGCTTCACAAACCTGTCCAAGTCAGCCTGTATTGCCAGCCTGTCTTTAGGCGTCACCACACTCCCCCATAGTTTGGTGTCATCAGCAAACTTTGCCAGATTGCTTATAATACATGAATCCAGTCGAACATGTTGAAGAGCACTGGTCTGAGTACTGAACCCTGAGAGATGCCACTGGTCACCATCTGCCTTGAAGACTCAGTTCCATCAATCAGTACCCTGTGGGTCCTGCCAGGGAGCCAGTTACCTAGCCACTGGACCATGAAGTAGTCGAGGCCGCATTTTAATAAATTTGACCATGAGGACACTGTGGGGGCTGATCTTGATAATTTAACCTCAATCATGTAGCATTTGAAAAGAAAACTCAAGTTCTCCTGGGTAATTTTAAGTTCACCACCCTAAATAGATCCAGTATAGATTACTAAACATGAGAGAGGGAAGCAGTTTTACTATAAAATATCCAGTAGGTTACCCCAGATGCAAGTTAACTAGGTATGGCATTTATCCTAAAACCAGCCCCAGAGTGATTGTTGCTGATTGTACAGTAGGTGGCACTTTTTCTTCCGCAGTAAATACTGCATCAGTGTCCCAGTGTGATCATAGACATCACTGCCGTTTTCGTAAGTTCCATTTCCTGGATGAGATGTAAAACAGGTGCTGGCTACTGTTACTAAATATGATTTCTATGGTACTTTTTGTAGAGTAGTCTGGGCAACACTGGTATGTTACCTAATTCTTTTGTGGGTATTTACATTTTTTATTCCCTAAATTGCCCTTGAATTTGCAGTGGATGATATACTTTCATGTTCTGCCTTGCTGTGTTCTGCTGTGCAGTGTGCAAAAGATGTGCTATCCCAGGGATGTCTGAATCCCCTTGGTGATGAATGTGTAATGTACACACATGGCATATGGCCTGGGAATTTGTTTGTTTGTTAGTTTTCCCACAAACTTTGTTCTCAAAGGGATCAAGCTCGTCTTTGTAAAGTGTTTTCTGATGTTTCAGGATGGAAGGTGCTGTGGACACAGATTCAAACATGATTACAGTAATAAATTATACTAAGTGGTCATTTTAGATACTTCAGCCTTAATCTTACTCTGGGGAGTTGGGGCTTGTTATCCTCAGCTGTTTGCTTAATTTTCTCCTCCTCTTCTGTCTTCAGGAGAAGTGGGTTGAAGTTGCATCAATGAAGGTGCCAAGAGCTGGAGTGTGCGTGGTAGCTGTAAACGGACTTCTGTATGCCATAGGAGGCCGAGCTTCCAGTCATGATTTTGCTGCCCCAGTAACCTCTGACACCGTGGAAGTTTATAACCCTCATCTGGATGCTTGGACTGAAATAGCCAACATGATCACCAGCCGCTGCGAAGGAGGCGTGGCAGTGCTCTGAAATAATAGGTGGTGTTTGGGGAACTTGCAGAGGAAGGAGGAACATCTGGCTCTTCTGAGAAGAGGCTTCATGTTTCTTTGCCCAGGGCCTCACCTACCACCGAGTACTTTTGTGGAATGGATGGAAGAGCAAATCTCAATTGGGTTGTAGGGCTGCTTCTTGGCAAAAAGGGATTAATTTCCCTCAAGATTAAAACCAGTCAGTCCATAGACTGTTTCATGAAATACAATCTAGAGAGAAATGACTAAAATAAGCTAGCTAAGCGTGGAACTGTTTGGCAAAGCAGTCCCACCCCCAAGATGATCTTTCCTCCTGGGATAACATTGGTGGGGTAGTCCAATGCTGTGGTGTCCCTGTGATGTGGCAAAGCTAGAACCATGCATAGCTCTTGAAGCCTAGATTCCTTTTAAGCAGCAAGGTTTTACCTGAAGCAAAGAGCAGCTTAGCCATTCCCTTACTACTAAAGTGATGGCAGAGAAAGTACCAGGAAGAGCTAATGGGAAAGGTCTTTCACTGCTGAATATGCAAACTAAAAATCAACTGGAGGTGAATTTTACTGTGCTAGACTTTCTGGACAAAGGATGTGGTGGTAGGTGACTGCCAATTCTACTTCTTCATTTGTCCTTCAGTAAAACCCAACATCCTTTTGTTCCTGCTGTTATGGAGAGGTATCACTGAGGCCATCTTTCCTCTCCTCTATATTGCATCATGTCCATACCTTTTGCCTTCATTTTCCCCTCTTTGCTTAAAGTATCTACCTACACCCACACATGGTAGCACAAATACCCTTCTACAGGCTGCTGTTTTCTTTTCCCACTTCCAAATGATGCCTCTAATTTTGCAACCATGCCTTTTCCAGGCTGAAGCAGAAAGGGCCCATGTAATAGCAGTTGGCTCTGTTCAATTTTAAAGTAATATTACTGGTCTTTTCATTTCACCATGATCTTGAAGGTCCTATATTTAGCTTGAAAAAAGCTTTTTATTAATTATAATAATACTTATTTTTTAGCAAACGTAAGTTTGACACCAAATCCAAACTTAAATTTTCCTATTTAATAAAAATCCCAGTACTTGAAATGCCTGTTCATGCAGTAGTGTTGTAGTATATGTGCATACATTGGATAAGTGTCTTGGGACTCAAGTACTGTGTCCCAAAGGAGAGTATCAGAACTTGCTGTGGACACTGTTTTACATCACAAAACCACCATAAAAAGTATAGCACAACTGGAAGTTGGCATTTTGTAGATGGAGGGACAGTCACTGTCTCTAGCCCATGGACAGCCTGTGCAATATAAATTCATAACAATAAAACCCTACACTTGACACAGTAAGTAGTTAAGAATTCACCCACTTGCGCAACATTACAACTAACACCATATGCTGAAGTTTGCTCTATATTGGAGTGTTTGCTTCTCTGATTTTTTTAAATGGTTCTGGATACTTTTACTTCAGAAAGGATTAACGTCAGACATCAGAAATCCTTATTCTGTGTTTCTTTAGTTTAATCCAGGTGAGATGGTTTCTAAACTGCTGTGAGTTTAGTTAGTTCCATATAATGTTCATGTTCCTCTCTCATGATGAAATTGTCTTATATGGGATTGTCTTTGCTTTTGTAATAAATAACATTGCGGCTGCTATCATCTAAAATGAGAGAAACTTTCTTAAGGAAAACTTTGTTCTAACTTTTGACAAGTCAGAGTGACTAGAAAAATGTACATGTTTGCCTCTAAAATAAAATAGTTCCTGTTTCCTTTCTTGTAGTGAGATCATTGGATAGAAAGTGCTTTAAATGACTGTTGCAGTAATACATTCTTGGTAGTATAGGAACTGGTGGAGAGGTACATACCAGGCCCTGTCTCTCTACTGCCCAATTTTTGAAAAGCCAGAAGAGAAAGAGAGAAGGTTTTTTTTGTAACTGGGTAACTTAAAACTCCTGGCCTTTCTGTGTTATGATCCTGTCAGACTTCAGTTGGGTAATGTAGGCTTAATTTATTGGTCTCTCTTCCTGTGTGCCTGTTTGCAAATTCCACTTTACTTCCTCCATAAGAAAGCTTGAAATGAACTCTGTTCCCAGAGGTAACCATGTAATTAAAGGTGCAAAAATGTTAACAAAACTTTCAATGAAAATCCTGGAGTCTGAAGTATGCAGCCAGTATTCTGCAGGAATTGGGACTTACGGTTGCTATTTTTAAGAGATACAGGTTTCTCAAGTTACTGTGTTTGTGTCAGGATGAATAAGTCATAAGTCTTTGAAGTCCTTCTGATTGGAACCCTAATTTTAACTCACTTATTTTACAAAGAAGTGAAAGACTCATTGCTCTATTGAAGGAACAAGGAAATTTAGAGCTGCAGAAGTAGTGTAGGGAAGTAGCTTTAATAAAGTGCAGTCCTTACAGTAGTGAACACTTCCCTCTATTCCCTTGGAAACTAGCATTTAGTAAAACTGCTTTAACTCATTCTTAAATACCCACTTATTGCCAACTGTCTATCTTCTAGCATGTGCACCTGCATGTAGGAGTACTAGCTCACAACTGAAAATGTACATTAAATTTCTGCTCTTACTGGCTGTAACAGGAATGAGGGGCAAGAGAAGACTATCATGAACACCTGTGATGTAGGGTTGAAGTTCGCCTCTTAGTACATTTGCATTCTCTTGACCAGCCTAGAACAGCTGCTCAGCTCATGCAGGAAAACAAACAACTAGCTTCCTTTACAAAAAAAAAAAAAGTGTCTCAGAGCCCCAAGCCTTCTGCCAAATCTTATGAGTAGCTCTCATTGTTCCAGCGCACTTTTTTAGCTAAGGTTGTCAGGAAGGTGGGGAGGAGAGTCATTAACCCTGAAGTGCATGTTCAGCCTGGACTGGGTCCTTAGTTAACTTCAATGAAAAGGACCTTTGTGTTGGAAGCCAGTATGTAGTTGTTACAAGAGGCATCTTAGAGAAGGTCCACTTACTTTCTTTTTTTTTTAAACAGAAGAACAGTTTTAACCACATTTAGTTGACATTCCTGAGGTAAGTGCTGATCTCAGTTTGACACCATTTGTCTACATACATTATATTATTACTAACTCATAATTACCAATAACTCTTTGATTTCTCTTCAGTTGAAGTTGGGCAAGGGAAGAGTTGCTTTCACCTGTTACATTGAGCAATTCATAGCCAGCATTTCCAGAAAAACTGCTGAATATACTATGACCAGGTGCTTTTTCCAGTCATCAAAAGCACCTACACTGCAGGTGGTGTTCCACTCAGGAAGAACAAACAGGGCTTTTCTCCAAAAGATGTGTAATCTTTATAAAAGCTATGAGTTAATTCTTCCTGCTGCAGAACTTGTCACACTTTAGTTAAACCACCTCTCCCCATCATCACTTTAATATTGAAACTGAGCAATTCAATTTGAAGACTTGTTTTCGAGCAGCATCCTAAAACCTCACTCAGGGAAGGTGCGCATGTCTTGAAAACAGTCTTAATGGTGACAGATGCAAGTCCTCCTTTGCCTGACTTTAATCTCAAATGCACTGCTTTGTATATTGCTGCCTTTCATTTTCCAGTTAAGGTTCTAGGCTGGAAAAGGAAGGAGGTGAAACATTATATTCCCACTAAAACACAATACAGAAACATATTCCCAGCAGGGAACGGCATGCTCAGGGGCAACCAGCACAGGTTCATCAGCGGCAGGTCCTGTCAGACCAACCTGGTGGCCTTTTACGACCAGGTCACTAAATCATTGGATGCAGGGGTGGCAGTGGATATAGTTTTCCTAGACTTCAGGAAGGCTTTTGATACTGTCTCTCACCCCATTCTCATTAGGAAGCTGGGGGACTGTGGCGTAGACACCCATACA